CTGGTATGACTTTGAGGGGAAACCCTACATACTTTTTTTTAATGGGGTCCCTCCTAAAATTCCTACTAGACCTTAAGGGTCTGGTAGCACTTTTGGGGGGAACTCCAAGCTTTTTTTTTCTTTTTATTTAAATGGTGTCCCTCCTAACACCCCTTCCTAAAGGGTCTGGTATTGTTTGAGAGGGGGAACTGCACACTTTTGTTTTCTTTATAAATGTAATTTTTGCTGCAGCAGGTTCTATACATTGTACATATTCGCCACTTTACAGGCAGTTTGAGGGGGACCTCCCAGGCATGATATTTAAAGGAATTTTTCATTTTTGTTTCACATGAAGCAATGTTAAAATCACTGCTCCTTTAAAAATTGTATTTTTTAAAAGTGCTTTTTTCATTGATACATGACCCCCAGGGCAGTACCCAAATCTCCATACCCTTTTTATGGCCAATAACTTGCATATAAGCTTTCAAAATGGAGACATTTGATTTTCTGAGTTCTGGTCCCATAGACTTTCATTGAGTTCGAAGTTCGGGTTTGAAGTTTCTCCATGTTCTAAAGTTTGAACTCGAACCGAACTCAGGTATGTTCAGTACATCACTACCCCTCAGTAATTTATTGGATTTTCCAAGGCTCTGAGGACAAATGTCTCATGCACATTTAAGAGATTAAACAGTTCTGGTCCAAGGTCACCCAAATAAATCATTATTTTAGGGATATTGATTTAGTCATAAACACAGGGCTTGCTTTCTCTACCTCACATACATCTAAAAATCCTGATGCAAAAAAACTCTAATGGTTCATTTACTTAATGTGCACGCATCCCATGCACATGGGAACACCCCCCTATGCACAAACGAACCTATTGGTTCACGAAAGTGAATGACATCATGCACATGGAAGATGTACCCATAGCACTTGAAGACAAATCAGACTCCTTTAGGCAAATGTGGTTCTACTGGATACATTACACATTCTCTGCTGATTACACCTACTGAATAGTGCTCCCTGCAATAATTAACCTACCAACCAAAGCTCTGCTGAGTTGACAGTGGGACAGCCATTCTTTATGCCAGATGTCTATCCCTTTCCTTCCTAATGGAAGGGAATGCAGTCGGTCCATCTACCCTGCCACCTCCACCATTTTCTCCCCCCCCCTTCCCACTCCTGTACAATCTTGCTTCCCTCCCCTACTTGCCCTTCCACTGAACATCCCCTCCCACTCATTTTGTCCCACATACATATTCTCCTGTTTCTATCTTAACATCACACTTTAGCCCCCTAAAATATAACACAAAACATCTGCACTATGTAATACTTAAGGACATGCCTTTATTTCACTGGTACATGTTATTGAAAACAAAGGTAAATGTGCAGTATTTGTCTCTGTCTGACATTATGTATACAATTTATTATTGGTCACTTGTGTTTTAAAAGCAATTGTTCTGCTGGTTCCAATGTTACAAAAATGTACCACTATGTGCTATTAGCCTTCATCTGCAGAAAGCTAACATATGCGCTATTCAATGCTGGTGTCAGTAGAAAGAATAAGGATCCAGCAGCAGGATATCTACCTCTGCTCAGTGATACTCAGCTGTGGACTTTTCCAATTTTACACTGGATTTGGTGAACAGCTTTGTGAATGTGAATCTCTTATGTCTTTATAGTCTTATTCTTTGTCACTAATGTTTAAATAATCTTTTTTGGTAATCAAAACTAAAAAAAAGGAAAGTGAGTACTGTTTTAAACACTTCTAGTTTTCTATTACTGTGTTACTATTTTCTGCCTTTTCATACATTTAGTTTTATAGAATTAGCCATTTCACTAAATCCAGTGTTGCATATTAATAATGGGGCATATGGTTTCCCTGTGTGTAGAAATGAAGTCGTGTTATTTTGTTGTAGTGTTCTGCATTTTAGTAAAGCTGCGCTGAATATAAAATACTATTCCCCATACCTTCATTTCATTCATCGATGATAATCAGAAACTCAGGACAATATCAAAAGCAGATAATGCATCAGGACCCTTGAGCCCAAACTTAGATGTCACTAGCTACTTTACAAAATAAAAACATCTGTGTCTTCAAGGTAAAAAGATTGGCCAGATATTTTGCGCTTTTTTTGGCAGATGGCAAATTGCAGATGTCACTGTTGGCCAGAAGACAGTAACTGCAGCTGTCACCAAGTGAGTGTTCAGTCTCTAAACCCTAAGGATTCCTTTGTGACGCCATTGAAAAGCTTAATCACAGGACACACTTCAATTGAACATTTAATAGAAGTGTGGTTATGCAGTACACAAAAATTTAATACAATCCCTTTCAATTGAAGCACTTGTTTGAAGAAAATGTGTTTAGATGAAAAATGTGTAGTTTATTACTTCAAATGAGGACTTTCTATATTTTTTTGTATGGCTGCACTAAATGTTTCTAAACTTGATTGTCAAGAATTATTTCATTGGAAGGCAATACATTAGACATGATATATAGGTATATCATTATATTCCTAAAAGAGTGTGCAGAAATGAAAAATCTAGAGATTGTAGGATCTCAATCTTAAGAGCAAATCATGTAAGACCTTTTTAATAGCTAACTCATTGCTGTCTTTAAAAGAGGGACTTCCTGAACTATTTTAGATATTCTGTATGCAAAAAATTCTATTTTCCATATGTACAGGGAAGAAGACAGGTATATTTTACCGTAAAAAGAGTTGCAATACATATGGTTTGGTGTCTGACCTTGTGTTACTGAGGCAATCCACAGCCTATACAAATCTAAGCAAAGTTAGGGTATGTAAGCCCTAACAATTAACTTCTTTATCTTGCTCTCTTTTGGTCTGTTAAATATAACAATGAAAGTGTTTTATGTCTGTTTGATCATTTCCAAAAAATATTGATCATTTCAGAAATTCAGAGCTGTCCTGTGTCCTCTGCACAACTTCTATGTTATTTTAAGGAGTCTAATTACCCTTCCTAGTTCTAAATTTGGACTAAAATAGTGTTTATGTTGTAGAGATTGGAAGGGTTTGGGTAGTTTAGTAAAAGACAACTGGTCAGGGCTGACACAATTTAGTCCACAAAAATGCGGTGTGTTGTCAGCTCACAAGAGCACTTGGGGGCAGAGTGCATTTCTGGAAGATCAACAAGTATTTTTCTGTATTTGTGGGGTCTTTAAAGTGAGAAACCAAAGCAAAATGTGCATGTATTTCAGAGATGCATCACATATTTCTTTGCCCTGACATACACTTTAACTAGAGGACAATAAGTGTATCTTAGCACTGGAAGAACTTAATATCTTACGCAGTGAATTCTAGACATTTCTTTGTGACTCTGTGGAGGAAACAGATTGTTGCCTACATCAAACATACACCACATCTCCTAAATGCACCAATCTGTAAGAACCTGAAAATATATCCCAGTAGTATGGCAATTCAAGTGACTTCATGTATGCCTCTCACCCTGCATTTTAAATGTGTTATCAACTGAGAGCTGAATGTTTGGTATTAGGGTTACTATGTCTTGCATTTCTAGGCTCTCTTTTGGTAAAGCGGTTCACTTTAAAGGGACCTCCATGAACTTCAAGTATGAAAAGGGAGCAGGAAGGGCAGGAACTTACTGGGGGGAATTTATCAAAATTGGAGCAGACAAAATCGGGAGCAGTTGCCCATGACAACCAATCAGCTTCTCTCTTCAGTTTGTTGAGTTAGACTTTGAAAATGAAAGGTGGATGCTGATTGGTTGCTATGCACAGCTTTTTCAGATTGTGTCTGCTCCAGTATTGATAAATTCACCTCACTATATCATAAATTACTATTTAGTAAAAACTTGCAGTGTTAAAACTCAGCTAACACTGTGCGAGCATTGGTAAAGTGGCACAGGTTTTCCATTTACTGTGGTGAATGGGTGTCCATTTGCAAAAGTAAAGCTGGCCATACACCTATAGATTATCTGCAGATTTTCTATGATCAGATAAAAAAAGTGCAACAGATTCCTCTATCTACTCTAAACTGTGTGGGTGGAGGAATCTCCCACTGGGCCAACCTTCAGTATCTTGCTAGTCAGCCCCACTGGCTCTCAAAATACATGAACAATGCCTGCATCCAATCAGATTGTTCAGGTATTTTGACAATCAGTGGGGCCGACAAGCAAGATACTGAGGCTTGGCCCAGTGGGAGATTCCTCCACCCACACAGTTTAGAGTAGATAGAGGAATCTGTTGCACTTTTTCCATCTGACCTTAGAAAATCTACAGAAAATCTATAGGTGACTTAAGACTAACTAGCCATAGTGCTACTACTAATGTCAATTTAAAATGTCAGTACTTGGCATGTCTGTTTATTAGAGGCAGCGTTAATAAATGAACTTAGCATTCAGTCCTCACTCATCATTACTAAATCCTGGTATCTTTAACCCTAATCTTCTCACTCTTGTATACACGTTTTATTGAATCCCTGGAAAATCATAAGCAGTTGCTACATGGTGCTCATTCATTTTACATGGATTCTAGTGCTTTTTTTCTGTAAGGGATGCATATCTCCTGCACTGTCATGGAATGTTGCATTTTCAGATTAGTATGAAAATCATGTAAAAAAACATATTACATTTTACACAGTCATAGTCTTGTCTTTTTCTATAGAAACGGATGTTTTTTTAAATACATAAAGTCTATTTGATAACATATCCTGAAAGAAATTGATTTGAGATTTTCTGCTTTACCTATTCTGCTCAGTATGAATCACAGTCTGCTTCTGACTTAATGAAATTGCCTTTTTGATGGCAAAATAATAATATAGAGATAATTATGGAAAAATCACTTTCACTGGAAAGTAAATATTTTGATCTGCTTAATAGATATTTAAGAAGCATACTCAGTACTAACACAGTTGATGACTACACAGAAACCTTCTTATCACTTATTATTCATTCTTATTCTTATTATTAAATATTTTCCAGGGAAGTTTATACCATATAAAATGTTTAAACTTTTTTTTTTTCCTTTATCTTCTGCACAGATACCTCAAATCAGCTATGCATCTACAGCACCAGAGCTAAGTGACAACAGTCGATATGACTTTTTTTCACGTGTGGTCCCACCTGACTCCTACCAAGCCCAGGCAATGGTTGACATTGTAACTTCCCTAGGTTGGAATTATGTTTCTACATTAGCTTCAGAAGGAAACTATGGAGAAAGTGGAGTGGAAGCATTTACACAGATATCCCGGGAAATTGGTAAGCTTCCATTAAACTGTACTTTACACTTAATGCTGAGCTACTAATGTGCTACATTTATAAAACACACTGTACTCTCCGTAGAGCAACAAATATAACTGGATAGATTTATGTGACAGGTTCTATTGTACTGCAACTCTGGAGCTTAAGTACCATTTGCTAGTTCTATTTATCTGAACATTATTAATGGTGATTTTCTCACAACAAGCCTTTTTGACAATTCTACATAAGCCATTTCTCCGTAATAGTGGTTAATAGATTTTCATTCTTATTTGGTGTAAAGCAATGTGGTAATGCCTATTTCTAATAGATACTATGAATTGTTAAATAGTACATAGTAATAGCATAGCATAGTATTCTACTATGCCTGCTTTAGCATTCATTTTGTTTTTGTAAGCAACATTCATAACTTTAGTAGGTTGGATTTAACTATGTTTATAAAACTATTTGCACATTATTTAATAGCAATCCTTGTATCTCGCCAAGTTGGACTATGCTACCTCACTTGGAGATCGCTAATTGCAAGCAGGAGCAGAGGTTATTTCTTTACAGAAGAGAGAAAGGAAATAAAAATAATGTATAATACAGAAAAGGATGGAGAGGGGTAGAAAGTAAAAACAAAGATAGGACAGGTTCATTTATTATCCTAAAGCATATCTAAACCCCAAACAAAAATGTTATATATTGCAGTTTATCAATTGGTGGCTGCTTAAGTTATTTTAGGCTTTTCTACTTTATTTTTACCTAGTGATCTGGCCAGCAACACAATTCCTGACTTAGGGTGGCTCCACTTTAAGGAGAAGAAATGTAGCCACCCTTGGACAGCAGCATTGTGGAGAGGGTTATGTTACATGCACTAGCAGATTTAGATGGACTTGACTAACAAATTAAATCTAAACTCCAGTTAACACTTTTTCTTTTTAGGATAAAAGTTTCACATACTGTAATTGAATAAAAGTTGACCATTGTTAGCATCCTTGTCAGTGTTAAATGGTTTGTCTCAAACCCTCTAGTAAAACTTAACAGACTCACTGGCCAGATCACCAGGTGGAGATAGCAACTGTTGTCGCTATTTACAAGTTAAAGGAGAACTATGAGGTGAGTGATTTTCACCCAACCTCATAGTTCGAGCCGACGTGTGACAATGAAACTGTCACACGTCGGCTCAATAAATCGGGAAGTGAGCGAACACATACAGTCGCTCGCTCACTTCCCGATCATGTCCCTGCAGAGAGCCGTGACTGTCACTCATGACTCCCTGCAGGGATTCCCCCCTCCCCGCTCCGATCCTCCAGTGCTGACTGGCGGAACAGACGGGGGAGGGGAGGGTACAGCTGGCTCTGCCTCTAGATAGGCAGAGCCAGCTGTCAATCATGCAGCTGGGTGGATCTCGACAGTAATGTCGGAATCCGTCCCGGCTGCGGCGGTCTCAGTATACCGCGAGCCGTAGCTCGCAGTATACTGAGCTTTGGGTCATGGGAGAACGCTAGTTTGTGTCCTCCAGTGACCCAGAACAGAGGAGAACTATGGGGAAAAACACTTACCCCATAGTTCTCCTTTAATACATGGTCACTGTAAGGATGGTAACATTTTGTTTAATCTTAGGTCTCTGAAGAGGACATTTGGGCACAATTTAAGGTTAGAGAAAAGTAAGTTTCCTTTAAAACTGCAGAAGGGGTTCTTTATGGTCAAAGCAGCAAAAATGTGAAGCTCCCTTCCCCAGGTAGTGGTAACAGCTGGGTGCATTGACAAATTAAAGAAAATCTTTTACATACCTTCTTTGATAAGCACATGACACAGGGATTTGTACAGTATAGATTACTTAATCAGACACACATTCACACATTGGACAATATGGGCCTGTGTCTTTATATTCAAATGTTTGCTTTTGGGTTTAGATACACTTTAAGGTCATGGCTATCATGGCTATTTGCTTCTAAATTTCTGGATATTCTTAATTCACAGAATCCAGAGGCTTCAGTTTTTTTTAAATGTTTAGGTTAAAAAATGTACTTGACAATTGTAATCTGACATTAACTATATTTAACTAGCTCAACATTAATTACTGCCAGTATGGTATAGTGCCACTAAACTTAAAAATACATTCAAGTACCTTAACGATTAGCAAAAATGTAGCTTGTGTATCACTTGGCTGTATACAATTATATTACCTCTGACTTTGTGCTGACACTGTCCTTCCTTCTGGAGGGTTGCTACTTTTGTTCCCCATGGTCTATGTGTATTGTAAAGTACCACTCCAAGCTTGCTCCCCTGATGGACTACAAATTAGTCAACTAAACACAAGATTGTAGTCCATCACAGGAGGAGCTTGGAGCGGTGCCTTTATCACAACAAACACAGAAATCATGGAGACCAAAATTAGCCACCCTCCAGAAGGAAGGACAGTGTCAGCACCAATTCAGAGATTATTAGAGGATCTACAGTGATACACAAATAAGATACATTTTTAGTAATAGTTAAAGTAGTATTAAACTCTCAAACTTTGTTTCAATATTGAATCCAGATCAAACAAATATACATTGTCCAGCAAAACAATGCTTTACATTTTTTCCCAAGCACTTACAATCATCATGTTTCTGAACAGCTCCAACTCTCTCAGCTTGCCTGAACTTCCTGTCCAGTACAAGATCACAAAGGACAGTGCAGACTCCAGAAATTGTTAATCTACTAGCTTGGACAACGGTGGAGGGAGGAGAGGGGGCCAGGGGTAGGGAAGTAGCTAGATTTGCTGTGCCTGTGTTTGTGGAGACACACACAGCTTACTAGCACACACAAGGGTGACTGCATAGCACTATTGAGAAAGGAATCACTCTAAAAAAGGAAGTCAAGACCAGTGCTTAGGGGACCAGCTGATTCTGCAGGAAACTAAACTAAACTAAACTTCTAAACATTAAAGTGACATTAAAGTCAAAAAAAGTTTCCCTCCCCCCATGTTAATGTTAGCACTTACCTTAAATGATGTCTCTTATTCCGATCTTCTTCTTCTTTCCTGTTGTTTTCATCTGTCCCTCCAGCGGTGCGGTGGCTCTCCGATCCAGCGCTGACTGCTCTGTCCCTCCGATCCAGCGGTGTCTGCATGCTGGTGCACGCATCCATAGACTTACCTTGCGTCTCTGCTCGTCTCCCGGTCGAGAATCCGAAATGTGCATGCGCCCGCCCCAAGATCCTTTGCGGCTGCACAAACAGTTCCTGATTCTCGGCGCGGGAGCGCGCAGCGATAACAAGGTAAGTTTAAACCGCTGTTTTTTACACTTTTGCCCATATCTACTGCTTGCTAGCAATAGATATAGGCAAAAAAAAACAAAAACGGAGGGTTTAGAACCCCTTTAAGCAACATCATCCATTGTAAGTGATTTCATCAGCAATTGAAATAGCTTAAAATTCTTTTGATTTTTTTAATCACTTTAAGGCACTGTGCAACACACCTTTTTGGGTGTTTTGTAATTTAAATTAGCAAAGGTTTCTATTATATCATAAATGAAGCACGAGATGTGAGAACGCAGCCTAACGTTCTCCAGAAACCACTGGACATAAAATTTGACAAGACTAATACATTTAAAACAAGACTAATACATTTTCCTCCACTGATGCTTCACATAAAAGTGATTCTTGTTATGAATATTCCTTTGGAGAGCCTGAATTTAGCCAGAACTCTGCCTATTGCTCACCTGGTGAATATACTATTTGATGTACTGCAGCTTGGCTGATCTATGATACTAGTGTTACAAAGAAGTCTCTGGAGGGGATCTAGATTGTTGTTAATAAGACTAGGTGTTAAAATATTTATATTTTAGATTAGGTAATATTCAGGGCCTATGAAAACTGGAAATGTAGAAAAAAGGAAAAAAGGATTATAAGAAAGAAATTAAATTTAACTGATTTGTCAAAATTGCATTAAAAACACATTCATGATATTCTTTGTCACTTCTTGTGAAAGATTATTTTTCTTTGTAGACCAGTCTTTAATGATGTCCTAAAAGTCAGTGTTTTATGAATGATTTCTCTCTGTAAAGAAGATCCGAAGACAACTGTCAATCTTCTCTCGTAGCTGAATAAAAAATAGCTATTCACTGATCCTTTAGAAGATATATCAGGGCTGTTTTTAGTTCACCCACCCTATTGTGTCAGATTATCCATTATAGAAACTGGGGAGTGCCAATTAGAGGCCAACATCGGCCAATCACAAGCTAAGATTTAAGCCTATCTGCATGCCATTATGACATCCAGGTGCTTAGAGTCAATAAAAACATAAAAATAAAATGGCAATATGAGAATCCTGCTTTGTGTTTTGGACTTAAGTCTGTGCAAAAGCTAGAGAGAGGTCACTAGTGAAGCGTTGGCAACAGAATTGTCTATCTTACTATATTATCCAGCTATTCCTATGTGTTTTACATGTTTATTGCTTTTTTGCTATGATGTGTTCTTGCCATTTGCTGGTAAAGAAAGTGATCAGAAGCTGTTATATTGAAATCCTAGGTTTTAGTCCACAAATTGAAAATTTACAGACCCTCTTTTTTTCCTATCTTTCATGGAAAGATTAATCCATTTTATACATCCCTGTGGTGATTTCCTTCAAAATAACACACTCCCCTTAGGTGGCAACTCTTCTATATTTTTATACCATTTAGAGAGAAACACACAGACACTAGTCTCCACCTCAAGGCATTTCTTCAAGAATGACTGAATCAAGAGTACAGTTGACATGTTTCATTAAGAATGACTGATGAAGTCAGGGTACCCTTGATGAAGTCATTCTTGACTAAATGCATGAGGGTGGAGCTGTGGGCTGCATGTGGAGTCCAGTGAAGCATCCAGGACTATGGGTGGACAAACCGCATATACCTATTCAAATTGCTGTCAGGATTGAGTGATAAGAATGTTTGCTAATGTAGTGCTGATATGCACTTTGACCATTGGAGTTTTATGTGTGAGGATTTTATATGTTATTAAGTTGAAGATTTTACACTGTTGACATTTTC